CTGTCACTATACAAAGTTGTTGCAATATTAACTATATTCCCTATGCTGTACATTGCATTCTGTGTCTTCTTTTATAACTGGAAGTTTGTACCTTTTAACCCCTCTCCCCCATTTTACCCCTCTCCCTACTTCGCTCCCCTCTAGCAACTATCAGTTTGTTCTCTGTATTTATGATTGTTTCAGTTCAGCTTTGTTTTTGATTTTTAAATAACACATATATGTGAAATCATTATATTGTCTTAGTCTGACTTATTTCACTTCGTATAATACACTCTAGTAAAAGGCAAAAGATTTATGTGATCTGAAGAGAAACCAGAGTATCTCGAGGTCCATCTATATTGTCACAAATGGCAAGATTTCAGCCTTTTTATGGCTAATATTCCATTGTATATACCCAACATCCTCTCTATCCATTCATCTAATAATAGACACTTGGATTGCTTCCATATCTTGGCTATTGTAAGTATGCTGCAATAAACATAGGGGTGCATATATCTTTTCAAATTGGTGTTTCTTTCTTGGGCTAAATACCCAGAAGTGGAATTGTCGACTGTATGGTAGTTCTCGTTTTAATTTCTTCCTTACTAACACTTGTTATATCTTCTTGATTCTAGCTATTTGAACAGATATAAGGTGATATCTTGTGGTTTTGATTTGCATTTCCCTAATGATTACTGATGTTGAGCATCTTTTCATGTGTCTGTTGGCCGTCTGTATGTTTTCTTTGGAAAAATGCCTATTCAGGTCCTCTGCCCATTTTTAAAATTAGATTGTTTGCTCTTTACATACTGACTTGTAGGAGTGCTTTATATATATTGGGTATTAATCCCTTATTGGCTATATCATTGCATATATCTTCTGCCATTCAATAGGTTGCCCTTTCATTTCATTGATGGTTTCTTTTGCTGTGTAAAAGCTTTAACTTGATGTGGTCCCACTTATTTTTGCTTCTGTTGCCCTTGTCTGAGGGGACAGATCCAAAAAAAAAAAAAAATTGCTAAGGCTGATGTCAAAGAGCTTATTTCCTATGTTTTCTTCTACGATTTTTATGGTTTCAGATCTTATGTTTAGGTCTTTAATCTGTTTTGAGTTTATTTTTATGTATGGTGTAAGAAAGTGGTCCAGTTTCATTCTTTCAGGTGTCCAGTTTTCCCAGCACCATTTTCAAGACTTTTTCCCCTTGTATGTTCTTGCCTTTTTTGTCACAGATTAATTAACCGCATTTATTTCTGGGCTTTCTATTCTGTTCCGTGTGTGTGTGTGTGTGTGTGTGTGTGTGTGTGTGTGTACACCATATTGTTTTGATTACTATAGCTTTGTAGTATAGTTTGAAATCTGGGCACATTATGCCTTTAGCTTTGCAAGATTGCTTTGGCTATTTGGGTTCTTTTGTAGTTTGACAAAAATTTTAGGATTATTCTAGTTCTGGGGAAAGATGCTATTGGTATTTTGATAGGGATTGCATTGAATCTGTATATTGCTTTGGGTTGTATGGACATTTTTAACAACATTAATTCTTCCAAGCATGAGCTTGGCATATCTTACCATTTATTTGTGTCAACTTCAATTTCTTTTATCAGTATCTTATTTCAGAGTACAGGTCTTTTACCTACTTGATTAAATTTACTGTGGACCTATGCATTTTAAACTGAAGTTTCTGGAAAGATTATTTAACATACTAACAACACTTCGGATACATCTGGTACACATTTTATGTTGAAGTCATATTGGTTAGAAGAAATTGCTGTCTGAAAGTGATAGACAGTCTTCCATTTGGTAGCTGTTTTCTGACTGGGTATGATTGATTCAAAACTTAGTATTTATTTTCCAGTCTCCTTTTCTCTTTAAGGTGAAACCAGATTACTTCAGATATTTAAAATATCTGTGGTCAAAAGACCAAGAGCTTTGTTTTCCCTCCCAGCCTCCAGGGTGACTGAGGAGGTCTGATGAGATAAGAGGTGGAGAGTATTTTGTTTGAACTCATTGATTTAGGGATGGGTGCTTATTGATTTTTTTTTTTTTTTTTGAAAGGATTCTTTCACTGCATCTGAGCGTTGATTACTAAGTTTAAGTAATATTCTCTGATTTAGGGGTAGCAGGAGGACTCACTTGACTTTGAAGATATTTCTTGTTACCTTCAGTGCAAAGGCTAATGTGTTGCTAATTGTTGTTCTATGTGAGTTTTTGTGTCCTGAGGGCCCACAGAGGACTTTTGAGAGGGGATTTGCAATGAGCTGAGTTACAATGCGGAGAACTCCTTCTGATTGCTTTGTGGAGAATGTATTGTAAGGAGGCAAGATGCTAATGATTTACTCAGTCCTTCAGGGGAGAGAGATGAGTATCTTGGACCTGGAGTAATAGTGAAGGTGAGAAATAGTTGCATTTGGAATATATTTTGAAGGCGGTGCCTATTTTAATTGCTAATGAGGTGATAGGGAAAGAGGGGAACAAGGCTGACTGCTAGGTTTTTGGTGTGATGATCAGCTTGGGCGCCTAGAGGCATCTTTCCTTGAGAATAAGGAACACTGGGACAAGAAAGAATTTGAGTCAAAAAGTCTGGAGTTCTTTTAGAGGCAGGAAGTTTGAGATGCCTGTTAGGTATACAGGGGCAAATGTTGAATTAACAGTTGGGTCATCAAATCTGGAGCTTTAGGGAAAGATCCGGGCAGTGAGATGCTTGTGGGGCTTGCCATGAAACAGAATGTATTTAAAACAAGATGATGAGTGTAAGAAGAGAGGAGCTAAGGGGCAGGAGCTGTGAATTACTCCCAACATTAGGAGGTTGGTCAGAGAAGCCAGCAGAGGAATTTGCCAAGGAGCAGCCCGTGAGTTGAGGAGGATTAAAGCTAGGGGAGTGCCTCTGAAGCCAAATGAAGGTGGTGTGTTGGGGCTCGAACCCTATAGTGTGAAGAGTTTTGTTTACCAGAGGACACTTTTGTTCACTTTTTGGTAAGTAAATGTGTTTAGTGATCATTTAGAATCTTGATAAGCTTGAGGAAACCATGGTAAATTCAGCCAAAATTAAAAACAAGCACAATACATCTCTTGAAAACACCACAACATGACATTTAATTATCCGTAGGCAGTCTCATTGCAGGGAACTGGACACATTCTGTTAATCACTTTTGAAATATCAGCAGTGGATGGAGGAACCATAATACTCTTTGAGGGCCCCCAAATCCACAACATTTTTTTTTGTATCTGGCCACTGCCCATAGTGCTGTTTTGAGAGCCTCATTTGCTTACTTAGGAAGCCCCATTCTACATCATATCAAAATATTAAAATATAACCACACTTCTGCATTTAAACAGTTGAGTTGCTATTGAGTTGTTAACTGTTGATATACTAGTACATCTAAAATCTTTCCATGCTTTTTCTCTTCTCTGCTCCTTATTCCTCAGGTCTCCGCTAAACATGTGACTTGCTCAGAGACCTTCACCCTGTAATAGCAACAGGAATGCCTGTGATTTTCTTCACTGACTACAATTTCTGTTTGTATAGTTGTTTGTTTTGTTCACTGTGTAGTAGCGCCTAGCAGAGTGTTGGGCATATGTGGGCACCTAATAAATCTGAATGAATGTCACCCAGTATTAGAAAACAGGTGCCTCAGTAGCTTTGGTTTGGTTTTCAAGCTCAGTGGCTTTATTTTTAAGTCAGATTGGCTGAGGTATCCTTTACTTACCGCAAAAATTGCCTTTTTAGGTGGGCAGTTCATTGAACTTTGGCAAATATATCGTCAGCCACCATCAAAAAATAGAAATTTCTATCATGCAGTTTCTTTGTGTCCCTTTCAGCCTCTCTCCCCTGACTCCCAGGCAAACGCTGATCTCAGTCTTTCTTCATGGTTTTGCCCTTCCAGATACTATGTAAAGAGCATTACCTGCCTTTTCTGTCTGGCATCTTTCACTTAGAGAAGTATCTCAAACACACAGGCTGTTGTTTGTATCAACGGTCTACCTTTTTCTTGCCAAGTGGTATTTCATTGTATGGATGTACTTCAGTTTTTCTTATTCAACCACTGGTGATGGACATTTATGTTGTTTCTAGTTTTTGGTGATTTATTAGCTTTTCCTTCCTGGTCTTAATTAGTAGACAGGAAATTAAAACAGCAATAGTGACCCACAGCCACAAACCCCTATTCATGTCTACTGTTTTCATTTTCCCATGTTTTTTTCTATGTGTTTTGCATGGTAATACTACTAAAACACATTTTGCCTAGTTTTATAAACTGCATATTTTTAAAATGGTTGCATTTCATTGAGTCACTCTAATTTTCTAATCCTTGGTGACATTCAGATTGTTTCTAAGTCATCACAGTTGTAGAAAATGTGCTAACCATCATCTAAAGTGTTCCTATGATAAATTCTTGGCAACAGCTTAAGACTCTTAATTTGAAAGTAATAGAAATCAATTCAAGCTAACCGGGGCAAAAAATGGATAGGTGTTAAAAGGGTATGGAATATTTCTCAGAAGTTAACGTCAAGGACATTGTCAGGAACCAAGTCAGGTCGGTCATTCTTCTTCGTTGTTATTTCTGCTTCTCTTGGGGCTTTGGTAGCATTCTCTTTGCAGAGACTTGTTTCATCTGCTCCAGGGTGCATGGCAGGAGGAGGCTAACTCCACAGTGCTGGGATTTATGTTTTCCAGTCCACGGACTTCCACAGACACACTCTGCCTGACTAGCTATTTCAAATCCAGTGGTGGGGGAGAGACCATCTGACCACATTGGAGGTAGTCGTCCACACCAGGACAGTTCACTGTTGTTCATACAGTGGAGCCCAACTCAGTAAAAAAGGAGATGTTCTCAGAGAAAGAGGGTTGTTGTAAACTAATCCCACACTCAGAGGTTACCATTTAAAGTAAGATTACACAAAATCCATTTTATGACTATTCAAGTTGCTTTTCAAAAGGGTAATTACAGTATGGTCTTAGAGAGTTGGGAGTATTACATGTATCTATTTTTTTATATTTGTATTTACATATTAAAAATCATTTAGGTACCTGTTTCCACAGCTCATATACTAAGATTAGAATAATACAGAGAAGGATTAGCATGGCCCCTTCCCAAGGATGACCCGCAACTTCATGAAGCATTTTGTATTTTTACAAGCTAAGTCCTGGTGATGTAATGTACGGCATAGTGACTATAATTGATGATACTGTATTGCATGTTTAAAAGTTGCTTAGAGAATAGATCTTAAAAGTTTTCATCACAAGCAAAAAAGAGTTGTTTAGCTCTTCTTGGTTTTGATCCATCCCCTCTGAGTGATGTTTAATGGATAGCTAAGAAAATCTGATCTATTAGCATTTATTGAATGCTTGCTTTATGTTAGGCATCGTGTCTGAGACTTCTGTAAATACAAGGCAGTTTATTAGACAGCTCTTATTCTTGGAACCATGCAGTCAAGTTGAGATTTACTTAACCCTGGAGGAGCTTCTTATTAAGTGGTCCTTGAGTGGAAATGTTCCATATACAGGTAGTTGTGTCAGTCTTTGTCTGGAAATAATATGGGTGCTAAATGGTTCAGTAGGAACGTCAGTACCTTGATTTAACTATGGAATGCCTGCCTAAAACCTGTTCCTAAGTTGTGTGACCAATTGTGGAGTTATGTATCTTGTCCTCACTTTAAGTTTTAGGTCCTAGCTGGAGTCTGGAGTCCCCTAGCCTGGCCGGGCTGCTTTACCTGGAGTCTGCTTTATTGGCAGTGACTATCGGCAGGTTCCCCTGTGCGTCCGAGTGCCCCCTTCTTAATTTTAAACAACTCATATGTGGTACATAAGGAATAGTGCAGAGGACCGCAGGGGAAGGGAGGGAAAACTGAATGGGAAAGAATCAGAGAGGGAGACAAACCATGAGAGACTCTGGACTCCGGGAACCAAACTGAGGGTTACAGAAGGGAGGGGGTTGGGGGGATTGGGTAACCGGGTGATGGGTATTGGGGGGGCACGTGTGGTGATGGGCACTGGGTGTTGTGCGCAACTGATGAATCGTTGAACACTGCATCAAAAACCAATGATGTACTATATGCTGGCTAATAGAACATAATAATGAAAATAATAAATTAAAAGAAACTAAAGAAAAATAAAAGTCTTTGTCAGCAAATGCACTCTGGTTACTATCATAATCTTACCCTTCTCTGAAATCATTTATTTCGTGACTTTATGTTGATACAATGAGAATTTTAATGAAGATTTTAACAGTGAAACTTGCTAAGTTAAGGTATCTGTTCACGTGTATAAGTGGATTCTTCGTATGTGATGGTCTAACTCAGAAGAGCTTCTCCCTGGCAGCTGGGTTGTACCACAGTGGTCAGCATGATGATGCATGCTAGAGTGTAGACCCTTCCATTTGTGGGTTTAATATTTGAGATACCAGATAGTTACAAGGCAGCCCCAAATTCTAAGATACCTAATACCGTATTTTTCTCCTATTCTGTAGATTGGGAAAGTTGAGGTTGCAATGAAGTTATGCTATTAGCTCTAGCTCTTCTGGTTTGTGGTTTTGATTTGTTCGTGGTAAAATATACATAACATAAAATTTACCGTTTTAACCATTTTTAAGTATACAGATCAGTGGCATTAACTTAGCTCATAATGTTGTGTAACCATCACCACAATCTAGTTCCAGAATTTTCCATGAACGCAAACAGAAACTTTGAACTCATTAAAGGCTAATTTTCCATTCAATCTTCCACCAGCCCCTGGTAACCTCTATTCTACTGTTTGTATGAGTTTGACTATTTTGGTACCTCAAGTAAGAGGACTGCTACCATATTTGTCCTTTTGGTCTGGTTTATTTCATTTAGCATGTTTTCAAAGTTTATCTATTTGTAGCATGAGTCAGAATTTCCTTCCTTTTTTATGGCTGAATAATATTCCATTATATTTATGTACCATATTTACTTTACTCATCTGTTGATGGACACTTGGATTGCTTCAACCTTGTGGTTATGAATAATGCTGTGAACATGGGTGTACAAATACCTGTTCAAGTCCCTGCTTTTGGTCCTTTGGGGTATATACCTAGGAGTGGAATACAAGGTCATATGGTAGTTCTATATTTAACTTTGTGAGAAGCCACCAGATCGTTTTCCACAGCTGCTGCATCATTTTACATTCTGACTGTGAATTTGAGAGAGTTCGTTTCTTCACATCCTCACTAACATTTTGATAATAGCCATGCTAATGGGTGTGAAATGCTATCTCATGGTTTTGATTTGCATTTCCCGGA